GGATGACAAAGAAACGCAGGAACCTGGGCAGGTGCCCGTAGCGCAGTTCCCAGAGCGAGTGCCCGAGGCGGTGCTGGTGGCGGCGTAAAAAGGTCTCTGTCCTGGCAGCGGTCTCCCGGACGCGTCTCTTGGCCAGGGACTCGTATCTCTGGATGGTGGTGGTGCCGTGGAGGGCCGTGGTGACCACGGAAGGCCTTGCTTCCCTCTCCACTCCACTCACCGCAGCCCTGCTGGGGGCGCGCCCCTGCGTCTCTGCCGACTTCTCAAACGTCAGCAGTTCCTGGGAGAGCTCCGGAGACGAGAGGGGATAGTCCAAGGTCCAGTCCAGCTCCAGGTCCAGGTCCAGGTCCTCATCCGACCACTGCAGCTGGCTCCTGGTGTGGGGCTGTCTGTCCCGCAACAGCCACAGGTCCTCCTGGCTGCCCGCTGGCTGCAGAGGGGACAGCACAACTAGCCACTGGCACGAGTGGCACCCCCCTCCCCCCTGCAGCAGAGCCCTCCCCAGCCCACAGGGCGAGCACCAGCCCCGCCCCTTGCCTTAGATGAGTCTCGGGCGGTCAGCTGAGGGAGGTTCCCCAGGCCGCTGACCTCCTGGGGCAGCCACATCTGCTGCAGCACCGCGGAGTTGGGGACCCAGCCTGGGAAGTGGATGGGCCTCCGCAGGTTCTAGGGGTAGAGGACAGCCTGGTGGGTGAGGACTGACTTCTGCCCTATTCCAGAGGCAGTCTGGGCAGAGTACCTGCCACCGCCCAGCTTCCTGCCAGGCCTCCAGGTGCTGAACGGGTGCCCCCCACACAACACACAGGCAGGTGGAGCCTTCAGAAATCATGGGGAGCCCTGGCTGGTGTGGTTCAGTGGATAGAGCAGCGGCCTGCAGACTGAAGGATCCCGGATTCGATTCTGGTCAAGGGCACATGCCCGGGGTTGTGGGCTCGGTCCCCAGTGTGGGGTGTGCAGGAGGCAGCCCATCCATGATTCTCTCTCATCACTGATGTTTCTATGTCTCTCTCCCTCTCCCTTCCTCTCTGAAATCAATAAAAGTTTATTTTTTTAGGAAAAGAGAGACGATGGGGAGCACCATCAGAGTGACCCCTGCGGGGAGGGCCTGGGTAGGGGGTCTCACCTTGTAGTGCTGAACAGAGGCAGGAAAGAAGCCCCCGAGGTCGGAGAGGAGCTCTTTGGGCCGCCTTTCCAGCAGCAGCGGGACCTGGGGACGGGCCAGGGGCTCAGAGCCCAGCGGGGACTCAGTGCCCCCCTGCAGCTCTGCCCTGGGGGGCGGCTGGTAGCATCCCCCCTGCCTGGCCCCTCACCCTGTGCTTCAGGTAGGAAGACGGAGCTTCTGGGGCCGCAGGCATCTCCTGTCGGAGCTGCTCCGACTGCAGCTGCAGGTCCATGCTGAGGCCCAGGAAGGAGCTCAGGGAGGAGTGGGCCAGCAGCTGGGGCACGGGAGGCGTCAGGGTAGGGGGCAGGGTCCTGCAGTCAGGGCAGAGGGGTGGCAGGGGTGGGAGGCCTCACCTGTGATGCCCTGCTGTGTTCCCGCTGGTGGGTGGGTGGGATGGGCAGGGTGACTCGGGGAGGGTGGGCGGAGCGCTGGCTCAGGGCCCCCCGGTCCCCTGGAGGCAGCATTTTGGGAGAGTCAGTGCAGACCCCGGCCTTCGCCAGACTGGGGGTGACACTCGGCAGGGTGGACACATCCCCGGTCTTCTCCACTGTGATGGACATGCTGGTCCACTGCTGGGACTCTGTCCTGGGATGCATGCCCTGGGGGTGCAGGCAGGGCAGGGGGTGGTGTCAGAGCCCCAGGCTGGAGGAAGGGGCTGGGTCCGGGCTGGTGCGGGGAAGCACCCCACCCACCAGCAGGGCCGGGCCGTAGACCAGATACAAGTAGTTGTCAAAGGCCTCCAGTTGCTGCTTCCAGGAGAGCGGGGTGGGGGCTGCTGGCAACACCTGCCCCTGTCTCAGCTGTTGAAGGTCTTGGTCCCGGGCTAATAAGGGTTCCAGGTCCTGGGGCAGGGGGTCAGAGGTCAGCCCATTCTTCCCAGAGTCTTGCCATGTGCTGACCAGATAACCACAGGATCCCAGGCCTGCCCCAGGGATATGGCCCGAGCCTGGGCAGCGGGCAGGGCCGGGCATTGGGGTGGGGAGGGGTCAGGATCCACCTCACCTCCTTCAAGAGCGGCTGCTGAGGTACTGCCATCCCGTGGCGGATGAAAGACAAGGCCAAGCTGCAGACGGAGATGATAGGAGGTACACTCAGCGGGACTGGACTGAGGCTAGGACAGTCATTCAGGAGGGTGGCCAGGCCCCTGAGGGGGCACAGGAGACAGGAGGGGGCGTGCCAGGGCTGGGACAGGCTTGAGGTGGCCCAAGGGGCCTGGAAGCCCTGGGACTTCCTGCTGGGACCCTGGGGGCACACAGCCAGACCTTGAGCCAGGGCAGCTGGGTGGGAGGTTCCAGGTGGGTG